CTTGGCTCAAATACCGTCACCCGACCCTGCCTGCGCTATCTTCAGGTGCACCACTTGCGTCGATACCAGTCTTGCGTGCAGCAAACCACGCATTCAGCGGTAGGGAACAACCACAAGCGGCGCTTTCGGCTATGGTTGGGCGTGTGGCTGGCCGTGCGGCAGCGCAAGCGGGATATGGAGACGGTATTTAGGCATCACGACTCTCCAACCCCGTCCCAGTACACTTTTGACCACAAGTGGCTCGCACATGACAAGCACCAGGATCCGCGGGAGTCAGCGTACAGTTTGCCTTCAACTTGCACAACGCCGCTTCTCCACAAAGAACTACGAAGCAAGATATCTTACAAAACGGTTTCTAAAAATACTGCTCTCGGATGTAGACTGCATTACCACTCCCATGTTTCAGCTGCCATCATCTTTGCGATCGTGGGCATGGATGTACCGGGCCGACAGCTTCTGAATGCAATCAGTGCATGCATGCAACGTTGGCTGGAGAACCGAACGTAAGTTTTCAAAAGGCCACATACTATGGGGACTTTTGGCTTTTTCATTTCTTTTTCTCGAGTTTTGAACAATAAGTCCAATGGGTGAAGAGCTTTCGTTGTGAACAGGAGCTGCCATCAGTTTGCTAACACAGCTGGCTTTTGAGTCACTCCTCGTTGTATTTTCTGATTGTCTTTCTGTGTAGAGGGACATTCCGATGGCGCATCAAAGTCATCGTTGGGGATTGCCTGGTAGGCGGAGTAAGGAAATTTCGCCAGTGGTGCACACTTTCTCTGCCAATTCTCGCGAATGCCCAATCGAAAGGGATGTGCAAATTAAGTAGATTGTCGCGCGGCGACGACGGCAACTTACGATTCTCTGAGTCCATCTCCCCGACCTCGCTCCTCGTTCGCCCATAGCTTGATGCCTAAACGCGGTCTTGATTAAACTAGGTTGCAAAGTATGAGGAAACGCGCAGGCAGTGCAGCCGGAGAAACGGAGCTATTACTTTAGGTGTGCTGTGGGGATTGTCGCCGAGGAATTCCTGCTTACCTGGACAGAAATTCAAGATGTGCCAATATCGAAGCTGACCTTAAGACAGGAACGCGAACGAACCGACCTCGAAGATATTATTGCTGCAACTCTGGTTCGCTTGCCTCCACTACTGTTGTCGCTATGAGGTAATGATTCCACTACTTCTTCGTATCAAAGAAGCGCTTAATAAAGCCCTGAACTTACCCATATGCCTCTCTGTTCTTCATACTGCGAGTTTTTGATGGGCTTGCATCATATTCATGTGTAGATGGTCCAGTCTGGGTCAATTGCAGAAGCATCCGAAAATTTACGTAACCTTTAGTTGGGAGTGGAGGTGGACTCCGCAAGCACGGCTGTCCCGCGAAAGTATGCCTATCTGCTCTGGTCGTCTGGGCTCTGCTTAGCCTGAGCCTTGAGCAACGTATGAGGCGTCGACGCGCCGCCATATTCCCTCTCCTTCCAGCTAAGTTAGCGCAGGAAAATCTTCCAGAAATGCACTTTTTCAGATCGTGTGCATGCGTTGCCGAACATTCAAGAGGAAGCTGTTGAAGGAGCAGATCAGTAACTATGTCGACATACCTGAAATGACTCCTATTGGTGAGTACGTGGATAGAACCTATTCGGGGGAAGGAACAAGTTATTTGCCTTCAGATCCCTCAATTCGATCAAATATGAGCCGTGTGAATCTGATTACTGCTAGTGAGCTACAGACAAAAGGAACGCAACTGGGAGCTGGCGCATTCGGAGTCGTCTACGCTGTAAGTTAGCCGTGTAGTGCACTCTTGAAGCCACAAGTTCAATCCCCGCCGAGGCGAAAATCACGTGCCTTGCAGAACTGGAGATGACATATTGCTTTCAGGGATTCTGGTTCCCGAAGGCTAAAGGAAAGATAAAAGTACCTGTAGCGATCAAACTTGTCAAAGGCACCTGCACTGGAAAAGAGGTGAGCTGAAAGTTCATGTTAAGGCTTCTCTTGGAACATTTTACCAAAAACGCCGTTAAGGAGACTGAAATGCTGAATGAAGCCATGCAGATGTCCTCACTTCGGCATGAACATCTTCTTCGTCTGGTAGGAATCTGTCTACACGAAGAGGGAATACAACTGGTACTTTGAAACAAGTTGAATCAGTTTTGATCTTCAGTTATAAGATGCTTTCTTCAAGGTTACCCTTCTACGTCCTCTTGGAAATCTTCTGAACTTCTTGAAGAAGCACAAGGCCCATTTGTGTGGCAAGGATCTTCTACTCTACTGCTACCAGATATCATCGGTAAGTAATAAAGAGTATTACATTGAAGGTGTGCAGCCTTGATCGCTGCGGATGATGGGGCGTGCTGACACCTCGCCACACCCTGCCCCTTTTGACAAGCCCCATCATCCACAGCGAACAAGACCGTATCTATATTTTTTTATGTGATGTCCCCTTCAGGCTATGAAATACCTGTACGAACATCGTATCATTCATCGCGATCTTGCCGCTCGAAACGTTCTGGTAAAACGTCACAACCACGTAGAAGTGACTGATTTTGGCCTAGCAAAACTTCTCGATTATGGTCAGGAGAAAGTGAAGGTCATGGAAGGAAAGGTCGGCTCCTTACCATCTGTTAAAAATATGACATCTTAAAAAACAAGTCCATTAAGGTCGCGATAAAATGGTTAGCGTTGGAGTCGCTAAGGGATCAGAGCTATACGCATCGCACTGATGTCTGGGCGTATGGTGTTACCTGCTGGGAGATCTTAACGTTTGGTCAGGTGAGTCTCTTGGAGTGCTTTGGAGGGAGAAGAAGCCCTGGATTTCCTTGAGGTGATGTGAAAATAGTTATGAACTGAATCTACTGAAGACGGTGCTTCAAACCAATCAAATTCTGCTGAACGACTCCTCATCCCTACTCCTACCACTGCCCATCCACTGCAACGCAAGAATTTCCGTCTAGGAGGGGCTGGGTCCCTTACCCCTGAATTTCCCAAACTTTTCTGGTGCTCCATTTGCATACCGGTTGCGCAGATGAGGGTACAGCATGGGTGTGGGTGAATTGACGATACTAGTGTAACCCTTACCCAGTTTTTCTCATCTGGTACGATCCCTTCACCTACCTATCTACCCCCCCCTTACCCAGTCTTCTGCCGAGATCGGAACCTTCTTGCCCGGAGCGAGTAGTAACGGTTGGGCTTGACACCGGGAGATCTGTGATCAAAAAAGCTCATAGCCAGCCCAAGATTGCATCCTTTCCCGTCCCCACCCCCCCCCCCGCGATCCAACCTTGATGAGTTTCGTTCCAGGATGATACCTGCTAACTCCCATGGATCCTCTCAACTCTTCTCACCAATCCCACATGATCCTTCTTCCCTAGCATCTGAAATATAGGCCTCACGGGGAATCCTCTCCAATGATGTGCCATGCCTCCCATTATCAGGCCACGAAAATTATGCTAATATTTTCAGAGCCCCTATCAAGGTATGGATATTTGTGCTATAAAGAATTTCCTCAAAGAAGGAAACCGTCTGTCGCAGCCCAGCAACTGTTCTTCGGAACTCTACCAAGTCTTGCTACAGTGTGAGTTTTTCTTTGATCAAAAAACAAAATTCTATTTCGGCTTTCTTCTTTGTAAAGAGGTCAACCAAGGAGAATCTGCTGCCACACGCTTCTGGGAATCGTACTGAAGCTAATCTGAAATGTAAAACAAATCTAAGTTTAATCGTACCTTTTAAAACAGAAAAAGTTATACGTCGCAAATAATTCTCATATGCCTTTTTTAAGGCTGGATGGCGAATGCTCGGAGTCTAGACGTCGGTTGACAGCGATCTCACAATGCTCCATGATCGGTTTTTGAACTTTTGTCGAATTCCTCAACTTTACGTCATGGTGCGTTCATTATAGATAGTAGATTTCATAGGAAAAATTGGGTTAAGATAGCTGGGGGGTGCCACGCGGCAGCGCGGTATGCCACCCGCAATATGTTTGGAACCAGACGTATCTCGTCTGTTTCGTCCATAATTGCCCATAATTTTCAGTATTTATTTTTGTTACATTGAAGTCTGATTCTTTCAGTAGCTGTAGCAATTATGTAGCCGGCTTTAGCTAGCCGCTACTGTCATTTCCCCGATAATTTTGGGATTGCTCGTTTCAGGAACCAGCTGCACCAACAAGGTTCATTGAAAAACAGAATCTCAAAGAGATCTGCTGAGGGAACTGTTGAATGATACGGAAAATGACTTCACGGATCCGTTGAATTACTTCGAGACCTGTGAAAATCCGGATACGCCCACTGGCGACTTTGAAGGGGTGAGGATTTTATTTTCATGGAATAACTCTTACTGATCATCTGTAAAAAATCTAAAAGGCGCTACGAAAGCCTTTCCTCAATGTTGTAGCGCGGATAAATAAGGGTCATATTACAATGGGGTCAGCTTCGCCTTAAAAAATGCGGTGTTTTGTATGAGAGTACGTCCTCGCAATCAAGAAGCAAAGCAGCAACGTGACGGGCAGTAATTGGCCAATATCCTTGTCGTGCGATGGGCGTGGCGACGTGCTTCGTCTGAAGGTTGAACGTAGCCTCGGCTGCTTATTTGGCGAGGTATTTTATTTCGGGACAAAGATCACGTCTTTGCGCCAGAGCAAGTGTCGCCTGAAAATTGGAATTGATGACACACGAAATTTTCATCGCACCGCGGGCATCTCAAACGAAGTATGCTGCCCGCTCACCACGTCTCAGGGATATGGAAATGCATATAACAGCTGATCGGGTGAGGACAACAGGCAGCAATACTTCTCTGCACGGTTTCTCAAAAAGTGGGATCCCGAGTATGCTTCGGGAGACGAGGACCGTCTGTCCGGTTACGACGCCTCGGTGTCCATACCCTTATTATATTACTCAGCAAAACAGTGTTCTCCAGGGTATATCTCGCGTATCCCCGGGGGATGGGAAAAGGCGTGGTCGCGCACTTTATTCGCAACAAAGCCACCGGCTGCGTATTCGGTAAGTGCTAAACCATTTCGAGCCATTATGTCGCTCCTCTGTCTTCTCTCAAGATATTGTCTCACGCAAGTTGCAGATTATTCCACGAAATATGAAACTGCCCTCAAGTTCCATTTGAAGTTACGCGTCGTCTCTCCTTCGCCTATCTCCGGATTACTGAATCGTATTGTTTGTCGCTTTGCAGTGTGGCCATGTACCATGGCGTTTGGATGGGTCCTTTTTCTCAGAGCGTCTGGATGCTGCAGATAGTACCTCTTTCTTGAAGGCTCGCCAGAAGTTCTTCTACATAACCAGGGACTGGAATATTTGGGTGAAGGCGGGCAGCTTGATCGTATAAGTGTAGGCAATTTGCCTTGGTGGTGAACGCAAAAGACTGACCACAGCCTCCCCAATTTTCTTTTTTAAACAATTTCGGAAAATAATCCTTAACATTCGAAGATGTTTTTTCCAACGATGACAATTGTTGTGTGTTTCAAGTCGTTCGACGCTCGCAGCTTACGAAGGCTCAAGTCGACACAGTTCAGCAACGTTAGTCAAAACAGATCGCTACAAATCAATCGTGAGTATTGCCTCTTTTGCATAAGTCTTGAATCATTCGTTTCGAAGCAGGCGTTCATACTTACGCGATCCAATCGCTTGACTGCGAGGAAGCAAATCGGATCGCTACGAGCGATTCGAAGTGTGCGACTTCGAGGCGGAGCGCCCCCATCGCTGATCGATGGACCGCCGCCACGGCAAAATTCAGTTGGGCTAGTGCATGATCACGGTCCATTCATTTCAGCCGTTCGGCGGTCCAGCGATCGACGGCGGGGGCCCCGGTTATGGTCGTGCGATCCGGTCCGATCTATCTGCGAAGAATGAACATGGCCTAACACAACCTTTTCAGCAATCATTCGTCCATCAGAAGTTGGCATGGACGATGGAAATTATTTGATTCCTAACGCTAAACTATTGAATGAACACGCCACGATGTACACTCCAGTAGTAGTGAATGAAAGTGGTGCCACTGGTGAGTTGCCTCTAGTTTTTGATATGCAAGTAGGTTGAATACGGCATCCGAAGCTCGAGTGGGACAAAGGAGGACCAGTGGGAGGTGGTGTCAATCACTGCCCGCTTTCACATTCCCGTGTGTCAGATTCTGGGGTCGGATTTCGCCTCCGAATCTCGCATCTTAGCCGTACCGGCCTTCCAAGCCGGCTGATTTTGCACCAGACCCCTCTGGGAGGCAAATCTAACCACATAGCATCCCATACGCCTCCCACGATTCTGAGTGGGTGAAGCACCACAGAAAGGGATTCATCAACGCCCAAAGCACATCCCAAAAGGCCCAACATTTTCCATGATGGAGACTGCAACGTAGTGAGCCTCATCTAATCAGGAGCCTCAGCTAATTAGCAAAGAAGCGAGCTCTGGGTATGTAACCCCATAGCAACCCTGTAGCTGTAGTTGGTATTATCGCACTTCAGCGAGGCAGCGCCAGGAGGCGTGGAGTGATTCCACCCACCGCGTTTTCTACGGGTGAAAGCAAATTCATTCAGAAGCACTCGGTGGTAAAAAACGTGACGGGTGGGCTCATTCACGCCCTCGTGACAGCGCCCCGCCAGACTGCGAGAAATGATATCAAGCATAACCTTTACGGTGGGGCAACAGGTTCTTAAAGTGTTATTCAGAAACAAAATCCCATCTGCTCGTTCAGCGTTCGAAGGATTAGGTTCCGTGGAAAGCTTTGTCTTTGTCCCTTTTCCCTTCGGACGATCCATAAACTACCATTCTCTTCAACATGACCTGCTGCTTATAAAATACCCGCTAAATCTTATCTTGTGGTCAAGACCCCTACCTTACCACACTGCTACTGTCGAAGCTTGGTGATTCCGCTTGCTGACGCCCGCCCCGCGAATGTCACTGAGATGGGCGGCTGTGAATTTCTGCAACCAGGTGAGGCAAGGCATGGCCGTAGTCTTGCGGTGGCTGGAGTGTGTCTCAGGGGCCTAGGTTTGGCGGCGGCCACAATCCTGTTCTCGCTTCTGATGATGTCCGCTTACTGCTCGCGCTCAACAATGTGGTGCCTGAAAACCATAGTCACCCTCCCCCCCCCCCCGCCGCGCCCACACATCCCGAGCGAACAGGACAGACATACCTAGCGGATTATATACGGTAGGATTGCGGGAAAATCACTTGAAATTTGTTCGTTCTACTGGGTTGTAAGTATGCCAACGATATATATTCAGAGCTGGTGAGATTAGTCATGATTATGTACATGAATCAAAAGCCAAGTCCGACTACTACAACGACGTTGTTGGAAGTAAACCAGGAGATCATCTTCTGGAAATCAGAGAAGAACCATCTGAAGATACCGAGGAGAGCTGTTTGTGATGTGTGTGGGATGATTATCTATTGATAACTTCTGCATTGCAAAACGCCAAAGAAGCGTCAGGTTACTGCAGTTCAAGCATCGAGTCATAGCAACCTTCTCCAATATTCCGCTGTGTCATCTTTATGGAGGCAGCTCACTAGGCTACAGCTCTTGAAGCTCCAAAGAGAGCGGATGACAGACACGGCGCGCCTCTTCTACCCGTCTTCTTCCGCCGTTCCCGCCGAAATGGCAGGGAGAGAAAGAGGAGCAAGTGGACGGTTGTTTCTTGATTGCCATAAATATCAGAATATTATTCGTACTTGTTTGCATTATGTAGAGGTTCTTGAGTTTGATGCTTTTGAAGCTTCCACTTTCAAATTCTCCAAAGGTTCCATGGCTTACCATATTTTGTCTTTATATTCCTTGTTATTTTTCCATAATCAGTCTCCTAGAAGAATCATGGCGGTTGCTCTGTGTGCAGTTGAGTTGGTGTGAATCAAATGCCCCCCAAGCATGGGCGATGTACAGAGGGTGTCGGAGGAGATTCACGTTGCGGAGACGGTTGCTGACAGAATTTCCTGCTTAGCTGACTATGCGCATGAAATTTCCGCGTTATTCCGATTAGGTCCTGGGCCCAATGTCACATAGGTGACGTCACTCGCAATGCTGCTTTCGCCGCGTCATCGCTACGTGGATCTCCTGGCCAACACCTGTCTTCAAGATCTCATTCATAGCAGTCATTAGAATTACGGTGTTACCCCCACGAAGCATCTTTTTTCTTCGTTTCTCTCCAACTATTTTTTCAGAACTGAAGCCGGTGGTACGCTTTGTTCTTGTTGGTGTTAGCTGGAAAATCTCTATTATATATTTGCGTACTTCTATTCAACTTTGTTGTTGTTAGCTGTTTTGTCATTTTATGTCATAATGAGTTCATTTATTTAGCTTGCCAAATTGTAGAAATATCCTTGTATTGCAGAGACATATACAAATTATTCTCTCTTTTCAAAGCACCATGTATCGCGCTCACATTCGGGTTCTTTCTTATTTTTCATGATAAAGCGTTTTTTATGCGATTCAATGCTAATGCATATGGAGGACGATTTCGGACTTTTTTTTATATAATTTCAGTAAAAAATACATTATGATCACTTGAGGGTTTTTCCGGGATCCTATTTCCCAAGAACAGCGATATAGCGTGCAAGCGTGCAACGGCTGGAAACAGCTTTTGAACGTTCGACCGACAAGAAATGGCGGCAAGAAATCGCGTTAACCATCGCTGAGTTTTCGGTAGCTACAGGGTAACCAGTCCAAGGAACCATTAGACTATTATCTGTGGCGCTCAGATGGTTGGAGGTTGTCGCTAACAGATGGTTGTCAATCCATCAGAAAACTCGTCACATCGCCGTGGTGGATATCCTCTGCGTTCGTCCTATCGTAAAAAATGACGACGGGTGCAAACGGACGACGCAGTGCAAGTGATCGCTGGCGCTCGCAGCGACCGTCGTTGTTCAATCCCGCCCAGTGAATAGTTTTTGCCTCACTCTGTTTTATGCGGGAATGATGTGAGATAGCCATTAAGGACTAACTGTAGGTATATAACGCACAGAGTCTTCACAGTCTTTACAAAATTAATCCCGCAACCGATACGGATCAGTCTAAAAATAGCATTTGGATGGACAGTTGCCATTTGCTTGTGGTAGGGACACATCCGACATATCTTTGCTGGCAGACTTGTCACTGAGGCGCAGCGCGAAGGGATCCTGTTTCACGCTTGGAAGTCGTGTGCATTCCGGCAAGTGGACTCTTAACTAAACTCCATTCTGATCGTGGAGACGATGTGGATTAGCCAATTAATGACTGCTTAGTAGTACCATGGATGCCTGCAGCGGTCATCCCGAAGTTCTGATCCAGGCAACCGATACGGGTCAATCGAAAACAGTATGAAGAATAGCTAATAGTATAGCTTAGAATAACAGTGACAGGTTTAACCCACAACAATCGCTGGTGTTAATCTTAGCTAAGGCACAGTTCGCGACCGCAAATTGCGGGAAACGGAACTCAAATAGGCACAAAAAAGTGCTAAGTATCTGATTAGCGGAGAAAAGCAGCAGAAAAAGCAGTCCGAAATGTTATAGAGAAAGATAACATAGTGGCTACTAGCTAGTAGCTAGCAGCCGGTGAGGGTCGGCATGGGCCTAGGGGTGTCCATGGGCCTAATTAGTCAGCTTCTAGCGGAGTTCTTGCCGTTTTTCACATTTTGAAAGTAGCGCAGCCTCAAAAATCGCCTTCCGGATCGTCCGACACATTTGAGAGGTCATAGCCTTATTTTATCGCGGAATGTGCCTTTAAAGGGAATTCCATTTCGGCGCACTGTATGTAGCTTTTTTTAATGTCCAGCCCGCAGGGAAAAACTCGTTAGGTAATGAGGCTCACAGTTACACCCAAAGCGTACTCACCCTCAACTTCATCGCGAGTGCGAGTAAGCCCACATTGGTGATACGGACCGGGTTTCCGTCAATGTACGGGCCGGAGGCTGCAGGAACTCTACTTACGGCGTACTCGTCGACTGCGCCATCGCCAACCGTACTGGAATAAGCTAACAAGGGAAGGATGGTAGGTCGAAGTGGCCATTTGAAATGAAATGTATACCGGCTAAAAGGTCTTTGGACGGGAATTACGAAACCGTGTTCCATATCTGCTGCGGACCTCCCAGAAAGAAGTTACGGAGCTTTTTTGGGGGAGAATCACTACAAATTGGCGGCGTAAGGCTATCGAGATCGTGGCAGCATGGCCGAGTGGATACGTCGTAGGGCTCACGGATGCGTGGTCGAGGGTTTGAATCCTTGATGCGTGTGCTCTTTTGCATTTTTTCGAAAGTGGCCCCTGTGCACTTCAAAGCCATTTTGCATAACACTTGTCCATGATAACGTCGTGATGTAATGATTCTGAACTGATGGAGCCATTGCGAACCATTCAGTAGAAATCACTTCTGGCTGTTGTCTTCCTCTTTCTTTGATTTGAAGAAGCATATACAACAAAAGTGCACTCCAAAGAAAGATTTTGCCTTCAAATGAATTTTTATTCTCCAAAACGACATGACCGGAAAACGAATCCGAAGTTGTGCAGGAAGATGATTATAGTGGGGAAAATGCTTCCATATGAAGTGGCGTTGATGTGGCAATCATGCTGGAGATCGCGATGGGCAAGAGCTTCATTCACCAGTGGCATAATGTTGAATTATGTCTATCTCAAAGAGTTTTCGTATCTGCTGGAAGTTTTCGGCTCGTATGACAATCTTTTCAGCCGGGTGATCTCCATGAAATCGTTCGCAATGGCTCCATCAGTTCAGAATCATTACATCACGACGTTATCATGGACAAGTGTTATGCAAAATAGGCTTTGAAGTGCACAGGGGCCACTTTCGAAAAAATGCAAAAGAGCACACGCATCAAGGATTCAAACCCTCGACCACGCATCCGTGAACCCTACGACGTATCCACTCGGCCATGCTGCCACGATCTCGACAGCCTTACGCCGCCAATTTGTAGTGATTCTCCCCCAAAAAAGCTCCGTAACTTCTTTCTGGGAGGTCCAGCAGGGCAAGATATGGAAACACGGTTTAAAGTAATTCTCGTTACGAAGACCTATTTTCAGACGTATAAACATTTCATTTCAAATGGCCACATTTCGACTACCATCCTTCCGCTTGTAAGCAAGCAGGAAATCGTAAAACGGAACACACCAAACAGTTCGCCAAGTGCTCATTTTTTTGGTTCCCTGTCCGACCACTGACCTACCAAAATCATTTTTTTTAGCATGATGGACTCTCGTTGATAAGGTTTTGAGTTCTGACGGTCCATTGCTAATGTCGCGGTAGAAAAACTACGTTTGAGGCAGCCTGCGTCTATAGCTGGTAGCTTGGGTGGCCCTCAGATGCACTCTCGATTGATTCGTATCGACTGCTGGATCAAAACTTGGATAGACCGCTCTGCGTCTGTGGAACGAGCGAGCTAGTCCAATATTGGCTGCTTGCACATCAACCAGAAATTGGCAGAAACTGAACCCATCGCCGTGATTGTAACACGACGACATCACCAACGACAGCTCGCGACAAGCTGCAAAACGGGTTGCAGGAATATTTCAAGATCTCCAATACGGCACGGACACCTCCAAGAACCATCTGCCTCAGAGGGTTGGGCTGGTTCTCCTAAACTATACTGTCGCTCATCAAAAACCCACCAACATCGCTTATGATAGCCCTTCATGCTCCCGGAAGGAGAGGGTATGTAGCGAAACCGGGGAATCAAGAAAAACTCCATCGGGGTTAAATCGCCAAATACGACCATTCCATTGGTCTTGCACAGCGATTCGTCCCCGGGCGTGTATGTGAGCAGCACAGTTCGCATATGTGCTGCGTGCCCGTTTCGCCGTCGTAGCTCGAAACAGTTCGGAGGAGATGCAGGGAAAAATCTGGTGGGTGTTCGCACACTTACCTGTAAAGGAGATGGACGCACCACATTAGGAATCAGAAAGGCTGAACGCACTAGACCGTCGTCATGGTCCAATGAAGCGTCCCTACCTTAATGGAAGAGTAGCCGACATCGGTCAGCCGACTGACGGATCTCGACGGTACCTCACGCGGATGGCGCATCTATCGTAATTCTATAGAAAATCTGCAATGCAAAATATTATTATCATTTGGCTGGTCTCCGTTCGGGCATTTCTGCTTGATCCGTAATGCCTGCTTGGGTGAGAAGTTAGAAAGATCGTTATGAGGCTATTGCAGCAGTATCACTTTGTCGTTGAACAACAAATTAGAAAGGTATATGAGAAGTATCCTTCTGCCAGGATCGATCCACGGACACCCAGGTAGGACCGGCGATGCATTGCGCTGATCCATTCACAACCGGATGACAGTTTGAAAAAACTGATCCATCAATTTTTGGCCAATGTTTATGGTCATTGGACACCTAGTGATTACTGAATTGGTCATTCCAGCAACAGCACATTGATCGCAGATGTCATTGTTGGTTTGTTTCAAGGGC